GCTAGCTCGAATGAGTTGTTAAGACCCTTACCCTGAAAAAAGAAATCACAATTATCGAAGATTGACCATCTATCTAAGGAACTCAGTCTACCTATAAACTACAAAATATTATGAAGATTTTGCTCTTGCGCAATGTAGATTCGTCCAAACTAAAGTTCTGATTGCTTAAGAAATCCGACCGTTTAAAAAGGAACAGGAGTCGTTTATGAGCAAAAAAATTTAAGCTGGACCTTCAAAATGCACTGCAAAGTCTAAAAGAGACTTGAAGATGAAAATTATCAAAGAAACTGTTACATTTTTTGGGATACCTTATATTATAACCTTTTTCGTAATGCACTCACATCCCTATGATTATCTTGCACTTAGAGGCTGATGATTTTATGAACGAATACACTGCCTTAGTAAAATCATATAAATGCTAATAATCTCTAGCAAATTTAGGTTAGTGATGGTGTTTGCTGCTGACACAACTACTCCGTTATCACATCTCGTTTCTCCCTGTCTCTTTCCGCGCCTTGGAACGAGACTCTGGATTTGCAGGATCGAAGCATGCTTCGCTACTTATCCGTCATCGCGCATTATTTAAGTCAGTCAAGAACGATTGACATCAACCATTACAATGCTACGTGCAACATTTCTTTTGTGCTTCGTGTTGGGTGTTGCAACAGAAAGTGTACATTGGCGTGAGTAGTTTGTTACCATAATCTGGCTCATACACAATGGCATATTGCAGACGAAAGAATGTAAGATGTCTCTTTTTTCATTTCAGAATGGCGTGAGCTTATCTGCAAATCCAAAAACGAAAAGGACACAAAGGATGCTTCTGATTGCGAAGTGTTACTTAAGGAGGAAGAAAATGATAAAAATCCCAGAAAAGTGCCATTAAATACCTGCTTTGATGTGAGTTTGTGTAGCTAGCACATCCTTTTTATTATACTGATTATATAGATGCCAAAAGCCTTGCATTTTTTACAGGAGACCGCTAACGGTCAACCACGGCGATACTGTAATCTACTCTGCCCAGGAGCTATTACAGCTTATAGAATAACGAGATTTCCACAAAATCATAGGTATAGATCCTAAAAGTATAACTATTTTGATTGGTTGCATTTTTTCACAAGTTGCTCTACGGATCTTTTTTCAGAAGCTGCTTCACACATCTCACGTATCGAATTGAAAGGCGAGGTGACAACTTCTTTATGTGGAGAGATGGAAAGTATGTTTCAATTAGTTCAATTAATCCTCAACGTTTTTCGCTGA